AGTTATGAATTGAACTGTGTCCCACACAAAAATGTATGTCAACTTGGCTAGGCCATGATTCCCACTATTGTGTGGTTGTCCTCCATTTTGTGATCTGATGTAATTATCCTATGTGTTGTAATCCTAACCTATGATGTTAATGAGGTAGAATCAGAGGCAGGCTTGTTAATGATTCAGGATATAATCTACAGAATTAGGTTATTTCTTGAGTCAATCTCTTTTGAGATATAAAAGAGAGAAGCAAGCAGAGAGGAGAAGGACCTCCTCTCACCAAGAAAAAAGAGCCAGAAGGGGAGCCTGTCTTTTGGATCTGGGGTCCCTATGCTGAGAAACTCCTAACCCCAGTGGAAGATTGATGACAAGGACCTTCCCACAGAACTGAAAGAGAGAGTAAGCCTTCCCCAGAGCTGGTGCCCTGAATTTGGACTTCTAGCCTCCTAGACTGTGAGAGAATAAATTTCTGTTTGTTAAAGCCATTCACTTGTGGTATTTCTGTTATAGCAGCACTAGAGAACTAAGACGGGGGGGTTGGGAAGGCTCCAGTGGGAAGATGATTTTCGAGCGAAGACTTGAGGGAAGCAAGGGAACGAGCCATAGAAACATCTGCATGAAGAGTCTTGTGAGCTGAGGTAACAGCAGGTGCAAAGGCCCTGAGACTGCAGCAGGATGGGGGAGTGAGAGAGAGGAAGGAGGCCAGGTGTGGTTAGGCAGAGCAGCCGATGGAGAGAGAAGTGAGAGTTGAGGTCAGGGAGGTGAGGGGTAGGGACACATGTGTCACTCAGGGTCTGAGCAGAGGAATGATGTGGCTCCTGCGGAGGAGAGCCTGCAGCTGGGCGAGATGGAAGCAGGAGCGTAGTGAGGAGGCCTAGAGGGGTTGGGGCTCAGGCCAGGGGGCATTAAGGAGAGAGGGAGACGTGGTCTACTTCTGCCCTGTTTCAAAGATACAGCCAGAGAATGCACCGGATGTGGGTACTGAGGAAAAACAAGGAGTCCAGGATGATACTCAGGCTTTTGGCCTCAGCAGCAGAAAGGATAAAGTTGCTGGTAAATGGGGCTAAAAGTTCATGTCAGAAGGCAACTGAGGGGACTTGGTGTTTGTAAAGGGCCTGGTTCAGGACCGGTGCCCTGGGAAGTATCCTTCCATTTTTGTCTCCTGCTCTTCACCCAGCGTCCACCCCTTGTGCCTGGTCTGGGCTGGACATGGGCACCCAGGGCTGAACCTCCCCTGTTCCCTGCCTAAGGGAGCTCCTGGGTCAGGAACCGACTCCAGGAAGGCAGATTGGAGATGAGAGTGGGGAGAACCCGGAATGGGGCAGCCAGTTCTGGCACGGCGGGGCTTTGCTGAAATGGGGACGATGACCTGGGCTTGGAAGAACGTGGAGGGTTTGGATGGCTTTGAAGGAACAGGAAGGCAGGACCTCAAAGACTGGAGGGACTGTGTGAGCGAGAGCATGGTGGCCTGAGGGGCCTGAAGTGATGGGGGGAGGTGCCTGAGGTGATACTGCGGATGTGGGAGTGACATCGAGGACATGAAAAAGCTTCCAGAGCCTTCTACAAGTGTATGATCTGGTCCTGTTAGACTCCAGGGCCTCAGGATTGTCAACGAGAAGCTTCCTCCCGCGTTGAGCTGCTCCACAAGGGATGCGAAGGAGTGAGCTCTCTGTCACTGCAAGTATGCTAGTTCGCTCATCGGTAAAATAGGCATGAAAGTGAGCCTCCCTCAGAGGTTTGCAGAAAAATATACCAATAACCAGTTGCTGTCGAATGGTTTCTGACTCATGGTGACTCTGTGTGTTTCAGAGTAGAACTGCACTCCAGAGGGTTTTCAATGGCTGTGGCCTTTCGGAAGTAGATTGCCAGGCATCTCTTCTAAGGCACCTTTGAGCAAATTCAAACCACCAACCTTTCAGTTAGTAACCTAGTGCTTAACTATCTGTACCACCCAGGGGCTCCCAGAGATTTGTGGTGGGGATTAAATGCAACGAGGTCTCAGCACATAGTAGAGCCTCAGCAAAGGCGCAGCTGTGGTGTTTCCCCCCTCATCACTGTGGCTTTCACCTATGGTCTGTCTGAACCCACAGTCCTCCCTGGGGTAATAGGTCTTCCTGGGCAACCACAGTGCCAGGGCTAGGCCTTCGCTTTGCAAAACTTGACTGTCAGTGTTGGGGGGTAGGTTGTGGGTGCTCGGTGCCTACTAAGTGCTCAGCTGCGATGTGCCACCCGGGCTGCTCAGTTATGAGCCAGTGGTGGTGGTGGTGGTCCCTGCCCTCGGCCCAGAGCAGGACCTGGCCCTATTGCTCAGGTCACAGGATCTGGCTGGAGGGAGGTGGACTGCCCTGCGGTGGGACCTTGGATAAGTCACTTAACCTTGTCGTTGTTGTTGTTAGGTGCCGTTGAATCGATTCCAACTCATAACAACCCCATGTACAACACAACGAGACACTGCCCCGTCCTGCGCCGTCCTCACGATCGTTGTTATGTTTGAGCCCGTTGTTGCAGCCACTGTGTCAATCCTTCTTGTTGAGGGTCTTCCTCTTTTTCGCTGACCGTCTACTTTGCCAAGCATGGTGTCCTTCTCCAGGGACTGATCCCTCCTGATAACATGTCCAAAGTATGTGAGACATAGTCTTGCCATCCTTGCTTCTAAGGAGCACTCTGGCTGCACTTCTTCCACTTCTTTGGTAGTCCACCCAAAGAATATTTGGCAATATTCTTTGCCAACACCACAATTCAAAGGCGTCAATTCTTCTTCGGTCTTCCTTATTCATCGTCCAGCTTTTGCATGCATATGAGGCGATTGAAAATACCATGGCTTGGGTCAGGCGCACCTTAGTCTTTAAGGTGACATCTTTGCCTTTCAACACTTTAAAGAGGTCTTTTGCAGCAGATTTGCCCAGTGCAATGCATCTTTTGATTTCTTGACTGCTGCTTCCATGGGCATTGATTGTGGATCCAAGTGAAATGAAATCCTTGACAACATCAATCTTTTCTCCGTTTATCATGATGTTGCATATTGGCCCAGTTGTGAGGATTTTTGTTTTCTTTATGTTGAGGTATAATCCATACTGAAGGCTGTGGTCTTTGATCTTCATCAGTAGGGGCTTCAAGTCCTCTTCACTTTCAGCAAGCAAGGCTGTGTCATCTGCATGATGCAGGTTCTTAGTGAGTCTTAACCTTGGCATCCCTCAATGTCTTAGCTATCTAGTGCTGCTATAACAGAAATACCACAGATGGTGGCTTTAACAAATAGAAATTTACTTTCTCACAGTCCAGGAGGCTGAAGTCGGAATTTGGGGCGCCAGCTCTAGGGGCAGGCTCTCTCTCTCTGTCGGCTCTGGGGGAAGGGCCTTGCCTCTTCAGCTTTTGGTTCTTAGCTCCTTGGAGATCTCCGTGTGGCTTGGCATCAGTCTTCCCCGTCTCTGCTCGCTTCATCTGCTCCTTTTATATCTTGTAAGAGATGGACTCAAGGCACACCCTACACTAATCCTGTCCCATTAACATAACAAAGACAAACCCATCCCCAAATGGAATTATAACCACAGGCATAGAGACTAGGATTTACAACACATATTTAGAGGGGACACAGTTCAATCCATAACACTCATTTTCTCCATCGGGACCAAACCGGTACCCTCCTCATTTGGCCGTGTGAGGATTAACTAGTACTTGTGATGTGCTTAACCTGTCTCTCTGTAGACCTCCTCCTGCTCATTATCTGTGTGGCACCCCCAGGAGCTGGGGGTGCGGGTGCTGCCCTGTAGGGGATTCCACTGGGCTGAGCTGTAACCCCCAATTCATCAGCCATCGCCTCCTCTCTGGACATTATTTCCTTCCATGAGCCCAGGAGTGTGAGCAAATCCTCCGGAATGTCCTGGGCCATGAGAAAGCAGGGCACGAAGGTCAAACCCCACGTTTGGGTCCAAGAGTTTCCTGGGAAATGGTAGCTTGAGGGCAGCTGGGCCGTGGACCATTGTTGGAAGAGCATGCCCCCCACGGAAGGTGGGAGCCTGGATCACCACCCAGAACCACTTAGAGAGGGGCCCAGACTGAGAAATGGAGATGGATGTTTCCGGAAGGGTGTGTGTGCCCAGAACTTCCCACCGTGGACCCGCGCCTCTTGCACCTGCTTGTTGTCATTGTTGTCGGGTGAATTGGCTCCAACTCATCATGACCCCGTGTACAGCAGGACAAGACGCTGCCCGGTCCTGCACCATCCTCACGATCATTGCTGTTTGAGCCCATTGTTGCAGCCACTGTGAAACGTGGGTCTCCCGAATCCCGATGTTCACCCCACTGTCCCCTCCCATCTCCTACTCCACCCGCTGGTCTCCCACCCCTGCTTTTGCCACACACGTCCCCTCCTCCCCACAGAGCATAGGGAGGGTCTTGCACTCCCCCACCAAGGTCCCTGCTACCACACAAAGCCCACTCAGAGAGCCAGGCAGTCAAGCTTTCATGACCGCTGCGGCCCTCCACAGCCTGCTCCTGCCCTACCTCTCACCCCCTCATTGACCTGAATGTGCCCCAACCCGTGGGGGCCTTTCATTCGCAGACACTGCTTGAGTGCCTACTGTGTGCCGGGCACTGGGGAGAGGCCACGACCCTTACACAGTTCAGAGCTTCTGCCACCGCCTCCATCTGCCTAGTGCCCTCTTCGTCCCTCGAGCTCAGCTTAAGGGCCCCCTCCTCCAGGAAGCCCCCCTTGGCTCCGCTGGCCCCTTTACTCCATTTCAGTGTCAGCTATCACATTGCCCTTGTGCTGTCCCCCCAGGCTGGGAGTGCCTCGAGGGCAAGGCCGTCTGCCTTTTCCCTTCTCCCAAGGACCAGTACAGGGCCTGCCCCTGAAACTGTCCCCTTGTGGGGCGGGCCAGAGAACAAACGAGCCCTGGCCCAGCCAGCTGTGTGGCGGGGAGGTGGAGGGGACCAGCCCTCTGGGCGCCAACGGCCCGCCTCACACTCTCTTCTTCTCTTGCAGATGGCCTCGCGGGTGCAGAGCACACGTGGAGGGGCCGTGTCTGTGTTGGCAGAGAAGGCCGGCTGCTGAGCTGGGCGTCTCCAGGAGGCTGCCAGGCTGCTGCGATCCCGTCTCAAACTATGGGCCAACCAGGCTGGTCAGTTACTAGCCAGGGACAGGGCAGTGCCTGGCCTTGGGCCCTGGGGAGGGCCGACCAGTTGCCCATGTCCCAGCTCCAGGCACCTCCCCCAGGCGACCAGGCGATGCCACTCCATGGAAGGTGCCCTCTGTCCCGGGAGGGGATTGACTCCTATCCGCTCAGCCTGAGGCTGCACCCAGCCCTCGGCCCCTTTGTGCCTCTGAAGTAGAAAGGATGGCACCTGCCCTGGGTTCCTGAGGGCCAGGCGGGTGGGAGTCAGGCACCAAACCCCTCGAAGGTGCGGAGTGGATGGTGATGAGTTGCTGCAATGGAAAGTATAGGGCTGCGTGGGTCAGTTCCTCCAGGTGGTGGCGGGCCCGTTGGCACGCCTCTCTCCCAGGCAGGGGTGCAGTTGTTGAGAGCACAGACCCTGGAGCTACTTGGCCTGGGTTCACATCCTGCGCCACCACTGACGGTTGTAGGACTCCGGGCATACCGAGCTTCTCTGTGCCTCAGTTTCCTCATCTGTAAGATGGGGTGATGGTCCCCACCCTGTAGAGTGGTGTATTAGTGTCCCAGGGCTGCCGTAACATAGTACCACAAACTGGGAGGCTTGAAACAACAGAAATGTATTGTCTCACAGTTCTGGAGGCCAGGAGACCAAATGCAGGGTGTCCGCAGAGCCACACTCTCTCCAAGGCTTTAGAGGAAGATCTTTTCTTGTCTCTCAGCTTCTGGCAGCCCCAAGCGCTCCGTGGTTTACAGCTGTGGCTTCACATGGCCATAGTCCCCTTGGGTCTGGCTCTATGTGTCTCTTCTCTAAGGACTCAGTCAGATGGGATTAGGACCCAGCCTATTCCCATATAACCTCGTGTTAACTGATAAAACACCTTCAAAGACCCAATCTCCACAGAAGGTCACATTCATAGGTCTACCCGTTGCCATCCAGTCGATTCCGACTCATAGGGACCCTATAGGACAAAGTAGAACTGCCCCACAGGGATTCCAAGTGGCAGCTGGTGGATTCGAACTGCTGACCTTTTGGTTAGCAGCCATAGCTCTTAACAACTATGCCACCAGGGCTCCATTTCACAGGTATAGGGGTTAGGTCTTCAACATATATTTTGGGGGACACAATTCAGCCCATAACTGTGGTTGTAAGGATTTAACGACATTATATGTGTAAAACGCTTAGACGGTCACCTGGCGCCTACCTGGCAGACCGTCGGTATTTACCGAATGAATGACTGCATTGCTCGGGTGGGTCCCAGAGCTCCTTCCCTGCAGGTGAAAAGACTGAGGCTCAGAGAGCTAAGTGTCTCATCCAGGGTCTCACACCAGGCCCGGGCAGAGCTGGGGCCCCCAGGCTCCCAGGCATTTGCTGGCCCTGCTGTCAGGGACAGGGATCAAGCCTGTCTGGTTTCTCCTGGCCACCTTGGGGCACGCAGGAGTTTTCCTGGCTGCGGCTCAGCAGACATCACCAGGAGAGAGTAAGGTTTCAAGGGCAATAATACTAGTCAAGGTCACAGTGCATGCTCCCTGTCCCTTTCCACTCCTGCCCAGAGCAGGGCTGGGAGAGTAGGGGCCAGGAGACCCCATTATGGCGGGGGCAGAGAGCTTTGGAATCCAGTAGGCATCCTCACATGCCTGGGCCCAGCCTTTCCTGACTGTGAGCGAGCTTGCCTTCCCGGCCCCTTCAGCAAGCACCAGGCCTGCTCGAGCCCCAGGCTTGATGCTGAACGTCCCTGAGGCTACCTGGCTGTGTCCTCTGTCCACCAGGCTTGGTTCGTGGGACCGAAGGGAGTGAGGAGGGCGAGAGCTGGGCCTCAGGGCATGGGCCGCCATCTTGCCAGCCCACAGGGGACAAGCCTCCCAGGCAGAGTGGCCTGTGTGCATGGCAAAAGCATCACTTTGGACACCCCAGCAGGTGCCAGATGCTGGCCTGGGCCCATGATGGCCACCCATTGTAGGTGGCACCGGCCAGTCCTTGGGGAGCCCATAGGCGTGTTCACAAGAGGGACTTCATCTACCTTAGCCCATGGGTCACTGTCCTCATCGTACGGGTGAGCAAGGAGATGGGGCTCTGGGAAGAGATTTGCCTGGAGTCCCCCAGCTGACGGCCCGAGTCCCTCAGGGTTCTAGCCCTGCCTGCCTGGCCTCAGAGCCAGCGGGCTGCTGAAGCCAAGTAGGTTCGTGGGGAGCATTCTTTCTCGTGGGTCAGGAATGTCACTGGCCTACCCCACGTGGTACCTTCTCTTGCAGACCAGTCAGTTCTGCTGGAGGCTCCTGGTGTGACCTGGGGAGACCATGTCCAGTCCCCCTGACTGCTTGCTGCGGCTGCTCCGAGGCGCCCCCAGGCAGTGGGTCTGCACCCTATTCATCATCGGCTTCAAGTTCACGTTCTTTGTCTCCCTCATGATCTACTGGCATATTGTGGGTGAGCCCAAGGGCCAAGGGCACCTGTACAGCCTACCAGCTGACGTCCGTTGTCCCCACCTGGCGCCCCTCATGCCGCCCCCCAGTAGCTCCCCTCCCGGCAACATCTTCTTCCTGGAGACGTCAGACCGGACCAACCCCAACTTCTTGTTCATGTGCTCGGTGGAGTCAGCAGCCAGAGCCCACCCCGAGTCCCGGGTGGTGGTCCTGATGAAGGGGTTGCCAGGGGGCAACGCCTCCCTGCCCCGGCACCTGGGTATCTCGCTGCTGGGCTGCTTCCCCAATGTGCAGATGCTCCCGCTGGACCTGGGGGCACTGTTCCGCGGCACACCCCTGGCTGCCTGGCACGCGGCCACACGCTGGCAGTGGGAGCCCTACCTGCTGCCCGTGCTCTCCGACGCCGCCCGGATCGCACTCATGTGGAAGTTCGGTGGCATCTACCTGGACACGGACTTCATTGTCCTCAGGAGCCTGCGGAACCTGACCAACACGCTGGGCACCCAGTCCCGCTACGTCCTCAACGGTGCCTTCCTGGCCTTTGAGCAGAGGCACAAGTTCATGGCGCTATGCATGCGGGACTTCGTGGCCCACTACAACGGCTGGGTCTGGGGCCACCAGGGCCCGCAGCTGCTCACGCGGGTCTTTAAGAAGTGGTGCGGCATCCGTAGCCTGGGGGAGCGCCACACCTGCCACGGCGTCACAACCCTGCCCCGAGAGGCCTTCTACCCCATCCCCTGGCAGAACTGGAAGAGGTACTTCGAGGACATTAGTCCCGAGGAGCTGGCCCGGCTGCTCAATGGCACCTATGCCGTCCATGTGTGGAACAAGAAGAGCCAGGGCACCCGCTTCGAGGCCACGTCCCGAGCGCTGCTGGCTCAGCTCCACGCTCGCTACTGTCCCACGACGCACGAGGCCATGAAGATGTACTTGTGAGGGCTGCCCTTCCTGGGGAGAGGGGAGACCCCTTTCTGGGGAGAGGGGGGCCCCCTTGCCGGGGAGAGGGAGGTCCCAGCTGCTGCAGCCCTGGGCCCAGGGCTGGCTGGGGTAGGGCTGTGGCCGGAGGCCTGGAATTGCTTGCCCACAGCCAGTGTGAGGCTATGGGAGCCCCAGGCCAGTGCACACGCTCAGGGGAGAGACATCAGGTGGGGGCCCTCCAGCCGGAATCAGTATCCCCAGGCTGGTGTTTGCAGCCCTGTCCTCTGAACGTCAGACAAGAACTGTGAACCCCAAAGCATCTTCCTGGGGGCACAGGGAACCAGGTGGGTTGGGGGGTAGGTGACTGCGAGGGGGGCATGGAGAGGTCTGTGGAAAGGGGGCGGGAAGAGGAGGGAAGATTCCGCAGAAGAGAGCAGATGCACTCGGGTGGAGGGAGGGCTGGCAGGGGAGCAGACCAAGTCCCATCAGCGGAGGGGAGTGCTTTTTCTTTCCTGGTTTTGATTCTTTTTGCGGGGTGCTGAGCCGGGAGCAGGGCCAGGCTGGCAGAGCAGGCCCGGGGAGCTCCTGGAAAGGCTCTGCCCGCTCACCCCATCCTTCTTTCCAGAGATGTGGTCAGGGTGGCGTGTGCCAGCTGCTCCCTCCGTAGAGTGTGGGGGCGTGGAAGTTCTGGCTCAGGAAAATCATTTTAAAGAAAACATTCCTCCCCCCTCCCCCGCCCATGATAAACACAGGAAAAACGTTACACATAATAAAAATGATTACCCAACGTCCAGTGGTTTATAGTTGATGAAACACGTCCACTCATAAGGCCCTTATTGGCCCCTTTCTACAGATGAGAAGCAGCTGGGCTGGGGGTGACCAGCCCGAGGCCACCCAGCCCACCAGGTCCTCCTGCCGCTGCCTAGACCAAGAGGGTCCGGGGGCCTGGCAGTTGCACTGGCTCCCAATCCCCAGCATCCTGGGCCCTGGATGGGGTGGGGGGGCTGCAGTGGAGGTGGGAGGACCTTGAGTTCCCCACCTCACAAGCAGTGTAGGACAGGCCCCCCATAATGCCCCTGAATCTGGCTCAACCCAAACAGGCCGAAAGAAGACCCCCAAGGAGCCCACCACCAGAACAGAGGCAGGGGTCCCCAGTGAGGGAGGTGGGAGCAGCTACGGGGTCCCTCCTGCCTCGAGGATGCCTGCGAGAGGCCAGAAGTGCCCTGCTGGGAAGCCCCAGGCTGAGCACAGGAAAAGTACTCAGTGGGGCAGGTCCCAGGTGGTTTGCGTTGAGGGAAGCTGCAGGGAGAGCCAGAGCTGGGGCTGCTGCCAGGAACAGCCGAGGGAGGAAACCTTCAGAGGACTCGGATTCTGCCTGCAGACGCTGTCCCGGCAGCCGGGAAGGAGGTGAGCTCCCTGGCTCTAGGGGTATTCAAGAGCAGGTGATGTTTTTGATGAAAGCAATGGATCGTAGGTCAGTTATTTCTCCAAACACAGTATCATTTTACGTTTTTCGAATGTTCTCGAATGAGCAGGTTTTACTTTAACACAGTAAGACCCATGAAAGCTGGAAACTGTGTAAGGCAGAAACCTGTCAGAAAAGGGAAACTCCAATATTTTCCACTAAAACAAGCAATAGAAAGAAAAGTGGTAAGACTGCACCCTGTCAAAGGCGGAAAACTTGCGAGACCTGGAAAAGCAAGGCAGCCCTGTTGAGTTCCAGCTCTCACAGGTTTCACTGTAATACAAATTAGAGATACCGTTGATGCTGTTGTTAGGTGCCGTCAAGTAGGTTTTGACTCGTGGTGACCCTACGTACAACAGAACGAAACACCGCCCGGTCCTGCGCCATCCTCACTATCGTTATGCTTCAGCCCATTGCTGCAGCCACTGTGTCAAGCCATCTTGTTGAGGGTTTTCCTCTTTTTCGCTGACCCTCTACTTTACCAAGCAACGGTGTCCTTCTCCAGGGACTGGTCCCTCCTGATAACATGTCCAAAGTACATGAGACAAAGTCTCGCCATCCTTACTTCTAAGGAGCATTCCGGCTGTACTTCTTCCAAGACGGGTTTGTTCATTCTTCTGGCAGTCCACGGTATATTCAATATTCTTCATCAACACCATAATTCAAAGGTATCAATGCTTTGGTCTTCCTTATTCATTATCCAGCTTTCAGATGCATGTGAGGTACACCTTAGTCCTCAAAGTGACATCTTTGCTTTTTAACACTTGAAAGGGGCCTTTTGCAGCGGATTTGCCCAGTGCACTATGTCATTTGATTTCTTGACTGCTACTTCCATGGGCGTTGAGTGTGGATCCAAGTAAAATGAAGTCCTTGACAACTTTACAGCTTCAATCATTTCTCCATTTATCATGGATGATGTTGCTTATTGGCCCAGTTGTGAGGATTTTTCTTTTCTTTATGTCAAGCTGTAATCCACACTGAAGGCTGTAGTCTTTGATCTTTGTCAGTAAGTTCTTCAAGTGCTTCAAGTCATCTTTGCTTTCAATGAGCAAGGTTGTGTCATCTGCGTATCCTAGTTTGCTAATGAGTCTTCCTCCAATCCTGATGCTGTGTTCTTCATCATGTAGTCCAGCCTCTCGGATTATTTGCTCAGCATGCAGATTGAATAAGTATGGTGAAAGGATACAACCCTGACGCACGCCTTTCCTGACTTTAAACCATGCAGTAGCCCCTTGTTCTGTTTGACCAACTGCCTCTTGGTCTATGTACAGGATCCACGTGAGCACAATTAAGTGTTCTGGAATTCCAATTCTTTACAATGTTATCCATGATTTGTTATGATCCCCACAGTTGAATGCCTTTGCACAGTCAATAAAACACAAGTAAATATCTTTCTGATACTCTCTGCTGCCAGCCAAGATCCGTCTGACATCAGCAATGATACCCTCATTCCATGTCCTCTTCTGAATCCGTCTTGAATTTCTGCTGAGTCTTTATATTTTTCTTGTTTTTTATTTTGATGTGTAGGATTGTTATGTGGCTACCCTAATATTTACCCCTATTTTTCTGTTTAAACCACGCTTTTACTTCTTGACTTGCCTTGACTTCCTCTCCATATGAAAAATCTATGACTACTTTGTTTAGCCCCTCTTTTTTGTTTTAATGTTGTCACCGTTTACATATTAATGTCTCTGTTTCCCTATTTTCAGTGTTTTAGCTTTATTTTTGTGACATCCCTATCTGGGTTGAGAGCTGGTTGCTCTGTCTTGTGTTCTAGTCTTGGGTTGTTATCTGATGTTACTGGTTTTCTAACCAGAGGACTCCCTTTAGTATTTCTTGTAATTTTGGTTTGGTTTTTGCAAATTCCCTGAACTTCTGTTTCTCTGGAAATGCCCTAATTTCACCATCCTATTTGAGAGACAGTTATGCTGGATATTTAATTCTTGGCTGGCAATTTCTTTCCTTCAGGGCTTTATATATGTCATCCCATTGCCTTCTTGCCTGCATAGTTTCTGCTAAGTAGTCCGAGCTTATCCTTATTGACTCTATTTTGTAGATGACTTTTTGTTTATCCCTAGCCACTCTTAAACTTCTCTCATTATCTTTGGTTTTGGCAAGTTTGATTATAATATGTTTTGGTGACTTTCTTTTGGGATTTGCCTTGTGTGGGGTTCAGTGAGTATCTTGGATAGGTATCTTCTCATCTTTCACGATATCAGGGAAGTTTTCTGCCAACAAATCTTCAACAATTCTCTCTGTATTTTCTGTTATCCCCCCCGTTC